CTTAGGTTTTCCAGACTCCAGAGTTCGGAGAAAATAAATACATTTCTGTTAAGCTATGACAGTTTTTCTAGCAGCTTAAGTAAACTAACACTGTGGGGGGGTGCCATTCCAACAATAATTAGGAATGTTCTAGAAGTAGCCTTAGGACTAGGTAGGTACGAAAAGCATTTAGAGATGCACGTTAGAAAAAGCCTGAATAAGCGTGAACTGATAGCTACGGCAAATATAGATGTAATATTTTTTAATGAAAAGGAAGAAGGTCATGGGGTGATGAAGAGATTAAGATTTTTGCTGTAGAGATGGTTCAGAGGTTAAGATTACTGTTCTTAAAAAGAACCTGGCTTTGGTTTCCAGCACTCATATTAGCCAGCTCATAACCATCTGGAAATCCAATGCCTTCTTCTGGCTTCTGCAGGCACACACACACATGGAATGCACATAAACTCATGTAGGCACACACACATATCACTCAAACATTTTAAAAAAACTTTTAAAAGAGATATCAAAGCTGTTCGTCTGACTAAGGGTCCAGTGGAGCCCAGGATGGTCTCGAACTCCTGATCCTCCTGCCTCTGCCTCCTTCAGCAAATTCTACCAGAGTGTGCAGGAGGACTGAGACAGGGGAGGAATAGGGGAGATCAAGAAAGATGCCTTGATAGAGGGAGCCAGTATAGGTTTGGAGAGAGGTCTGGCACAGGGAAAATGTTAGGGGATTCACAGGGATGACCCCAACTAAGAATCTAGGCAGTGGTAGACAGGCTGCCTTTGATGCCCTTCCCCTATAATGAGATTGATGACTACTTTGATTGCCATTCCTAGAACCTTAATCCAGTAGTTGATCACAGCAGAAACAAGCACCCACAGCTAAACACTGAGCCATACTCCTGGAATCTAGCTTCGGAGAGGGAGGAGGGATGAGCAAAGGAGCCAAGACGGTACTGGAGAAACCTGCAGAAACAGTTGACCTGACCTAGTGAGAGCACAGAGATCCAAGTCATTAAACTGGGGAACCAGCATTGGACCGAACCAGGCCCTCTGAATGTGGGTGCCAGCTAGGAGGCCAAGACAGTCTATGGGACCTCTAACAGTGGAGCCAGTCTTTATCCCTAGAGCACAAATGGACTTTGGCAGCCCATTCCTCTATGGAGGGATACTACTGCAGCCCAGATACAGGAAGGAGGGCCTGAGTCCTCCTGAAGATGATGTGACAGACAATGATGGCCTCCCCTGGAGGGCCTCACTGTCCCTGGGGAGTTGGGGGGGGTCGGTGGGGAGCATGGGAGGGCTAGGGAGTGGGGGGAATTGATATGTAAATAAGGGTGCTTCTAAAATAAAACAAAATTTAAAATATTTTTAAAGAAAAAGGTCCACTGGATAGGGCTGCTTCCTTCTAGGTATCAAATGATGAGCCTCTTCTTTAGGTTTGGAGAACTAGGGGGACAACAAATAGTGACGTGGGGTGGGAGAGCCTTTCTGGGGAACCATACGAGTGACAGAGTATCAAACGAGAGTATCGTTTTGAGACATATGAGTTAAGGGCGTTTAAGACTTGCTATACTTGGATTTGGTGCCCATCTTTCCTCCTTCTGATTTCTCATATTTCAGGATGGAATGTCTATCCTATGCCTGTGCACAACTAAGCTGTCTGGGCTTTACCAAGAACAATGTTGCATTAAGATGAATGGCACCTTAAGTCTCATCTGTATCTCATTTAGGTGAATGCAGATGATACTTTACATGAGGACTTTAGAGTTGATCCTTGGGAATAAGACTTTTAAGGTGATTGAGATATATTTGCCTGTGACAAAGATGAGTTTGGGGGTGAGGGAGTAGGGACTGGATCCTCTGAACTAAACTGTACCTCCTTCCAATGTACATGCTAAGGCTTTAAAGTGCAATGAGGCCATATTTGAAGACAGAGCCTACAAAGAAAGAGATACTTAAAATCGGTTACATGGTTGAGACTGGGACACAACAGGAACAGTGTCCTTTTAAGAAAAGACACCAGAGCATCTATCTGTTCTCTCTCAGTGACTCATCACGGTGTGAGGACTCAGAGAGAACAGCCCTTATCAGAAAATAACCAAGTCAGAACATGAGAGAATCAATTTCTACTGTTGGGCTATGGATTTCTCTTGGTAGTAGGAACCTTGCCTAGCACACACAAGACCCTAAGTTCTATTCCCAACAACACACACATACACACCAATTCTATTATTTAAGCCACTCAATCTATGAAATTTTGTTATGGCAGCCTGAAAAAGCTGACCCAAAGTAAATATTTTAATAGTTTACCATCACAGTGAATATGTAGGTATGGTCCCTTACCTTTCAAACTGGCTTCCTTTTGAAGTATTTTAAGAGGCCAGTTCTGCTCTAAATTACACAAATATGGAAAGGGATATATTGAGAAGACAAACAGTGGAAAGAGTTGTTTGGGCCAATTGTTAGCTTCTTTTGCTCATTTCTGCAAAAGCAGGGTTCTCAGAGTTCTTAGAATTTATTTCTTTAAGGTTGTATAATCAATTAGGTATTTCGGGAAATGCCCAGAAAGCCTTCAAAGAAACATTTATATTCAGCATTTAGTATAAAAACACCCTTTCCCAAACCTGCCAACAACTCCCTGTATATAATCACTCGCCACCTGTTCTTTTGAGATTGCTTTTGTATTATTACAAGCAAAGAAATCAATACTACACCATTGATTTAGGAAAGAGACAAGATTGCGTGGCAATAATACATAAGGTTAGTCAAGCCCCACTTCTCAATTGTTTTGAAAGAACAGATACTTTTATGCCCCTTTCTGAAATAGGTACTCATTCTGCATTGGTGATCTGTAGCAATAAAGACCCAAGATAGATAAGGTACTATAACCCCAATTGATATAATAGCGCTTGAGAGCTACACAGAATCTCAAAATGCCTTTTTGTACTCAATAGTAATATATTAACTTGAGTCCATATCTTCTTTCTGCAGTTTGTCCTTTGGTTTAATTTTAAAAGTGTGAGCTGCAGCAGAGGGTCAAGACAGTCAGCAGTGGAGGTGTTGCAGCTGCAGAGAGCCACCAGCTGAAGAGCTGGTCCAATATATATGTCTTGATAGGCAGGTGAGGCAATTGTTTACTTTGTCCATTAATTTACTAAGACTCCATCTGGTTCTTCTAAGCTAAATTAACATGAAAAAGTAATTTAGATATGTTAATGGGTTTTGAACCAATGACTAGAATCTGTAAAAGGAGGCGATGGGAATGGAGATTATACTGAATTTTGTGCTTCTAAAACCTGTCATTTGACCATCATTTGATGGTTACCTTAGTCCCATAAAGTACATGGCTTATCATTTTAAACATCTGAAACAAGAGGAAAAACCATCTTTGAGATCCAAAGATTTTTAACTCTCTTAATGTAGGGAAGAAGGCAAAAGCAGCTCACTTAGCCACACACTAGCACCAAAGACAGGTATTATTACTGACAAGGCTACAAAGTGGTGAAGTCAGGATCAGAAGGCAAATCTTTTGGAGATCTTAGTCCCTAACGTAGTTGGTACACTCATGAGACTTGTGAGTATAACCAGACAGGAATCCTTAATGTCAAGTGGTCTGTGTCTCTCAAAGTAGTGCACTGTCTGGAATGGTTGGCAATAAACAACAAGATAGACTAAGTATAGGCTACACAGCCAGAAATACCTGGGTTTTTAAAAATTATATTTATTGGGGTGTGTGTCAAAGTACTGGAGTCCACATTCTCCTTCCATTAGCTTGTCATCAGGCCTGTTGACAAGTGTACCTTTGCTCAATGAGCCATTTTGCTGGCCTGATAGCTCTACTCAAGCAAGTGAGTTATCTCACTGAGTAAAACCTTCCTGATATGTCAAATGGAGAAAAGGATTCTGACCTATGAGCATGGTGTGAGCATTAAATATTAGTTAACTTTGTCTATAAAAGTGTTTCCCAGGAAGCAGAGAAGTCACAGAGGAAGGTAAACAAGGATCTCTTACATGGTAGAGAGAAAGATGGAAACATGGAGTAAAAGATACACAACAAATCCTGCTTTTATAGGTAAACCACTGCAAACTGCCAAAGCTCAATGGCTACTTCTTTTAAGAGGAGTCTGAGTTAGTTGATATTCATTCTCAATTTGAAGGGATTTAAAAATATCATGGAAACATACCTCTGGGTATGACTATGAGGTTGCTTTTATGAGGGGGTGTTTGCAGGAAGGTTTAAAAGACTAGGGAAGACCCACCCTGAATGTGGCAGCATGTTCCTGGGCTAGAGTCCCAGACTGAATGAAAATGGAGAAAGTTAACTGAGCATCAGCGTTCACTTCTCTCCGTGACCAGCCAACCCACATACCTGCTATGTCTTCCCACCATGATGGACTATATCCCCTTCTACTGTGAGCCAAAATCAACCATCCACCCTTAAGCTTCTTGTTAGGTATCTGGTCACAGGATTAACAAATACATAGTCCTTCCAGACTTCCGCAGAATGGTTGTTTTCCCTATTCTCCTTAATGCCTATTTTTCATTTAAATAAAATACCGGTGTGTTAGAGTATACCTGCTAATACAGGAGGCTCACTCACTTTCACACAATGGAGGAACTGGAGGAAAGAAAGTGGGAAGGAAGAATGGATCCGCCTCAATAACAAGGTGCTGACTAAGATTAAGGTAAGGCTAGGCATGGTGGTGCACACCTTTTATCCCAGCATTCACAAGGAAAAAGCCAGGGCTTCTCTATGAGTTTGAGGCCAGCCAAAGCTACATGGTGAGACCCTGTCTCAAAAATCCAAAAGAATGTTTGAAAAACTACTGCGTGGTGGTGGTGCACACCTTTAATCCCAGCACTCCCAGAGGCAGGTAGATCTCTGTGAGGTGAGTTCAAGGCCGGCCTGGTCTATAGCATGAGTTTCAGGACGGCACAGGAATATACAGAGATACCCTGTCTTGAAAAACAAACAAACAAAGAAGATTAAGGTGAGATTTTCAGTATTTTCTTACCTTGACGGCATAGTTATTGAGTGGATCTTTTGCGTATGAGGCAGTGTAGTAAACTGCATCTCCAGCTTCACAGCATGGTTTGTCACTGGTTAACCTGAAATCTGACCAGCTGTCCACTCCAAAGCGGAGTTGGTCTTTCTGCCCAGCCATGAAGAGGTCTTCACATTTAACAGCCAGTTTCTTCAAGGCATCCGTGTGAAGGCTTCGGATTTTACCCACCACTTCCTCCCGATTTTCAAGTCCTCGATAAAGTGCTTGTCTCTGTGGCTTCTGGATACTTCGACCCTGTCTACAGGAGAGACCACGTCGGCTGGAGAGGGATTCCATACTGTTGGAAAATCTGTCCTTAACACTGAGAGTGGCTAAGCTGGAGATACTGTTTGCTGCTGAAGGAACAGGTCTCTCTTTGTGCAAAGGTCTCTCCAAGGAGTCATAAGTCTCAACGTCCAGTCCTTTGAGTTCACAGCTAATAGAAGACCCAGCACTGCTGGCATCCCAGTTGGGGTCAATATCATAGGTGGGATTAGCCACAACACAAAGACTACTTTCCATGTTTTTTTGAAGGTCTTTGGAGATTGGCTCTGTATTGGCTCGTATCATTTTCTTTGGCAGTGGGGGTGGTGTGGGTTGGGAAGCATTCAATACTTCTTGGTCTGTCTTCTCTCCAAAGGCAATGGCATCATCCAAAGCTCCCTTGGGATGCCGTGGATGCTTGGGAGGTATCATAGCTGCTCTAGATTGTCCTGCATTATTTTTAAAGAAAGAAGAAAAGAGAATTAATTGATAATTTCAATCTCATTTCATAATGGAAACAAGTAAAGATGGGTGAAGTAGGCATGGGGAATCTTAACAGTCAGTGCTTTCACTGAAAATGTGAAGCCAGGGAATGAACATCGAAGGTATGAATCCAGAGCTCAACTGGAGCAACAAATATGAATTATGTCTCAGCATTTCTCTGCCAGAGAAATGTGGCACTTGTCCAGGTGACGGGCTTTGTTTTAAAAAAGGAATCCAGATTCTCCAGTCCTGTCCCCAGTAATGCTAACATTCAAGACACAACAGTGCTAAAAAGGACAGACACTAGAAAAACCTGCATTGTGACAGCCAGATGACAGCATTTGTGGATCAAGAAAAATACTTGGGATCATTACTGAAAACAGAATTGAAACTAGCAATGGGACAACTGTACAGAGCCCAACAAAATATTATTCAGTTTCTTACAATATCATTCCAGTTTTACCTTGTATGTAGCACTTGCCATTACATATATGTACGTATAATGTATCCAATATTTATGTTTAGAGGGCAAAACACTAGGGTCCAATGATACTTTCAGTTTCTTACACAATGGAAAGAAGACACTATTTTTCTATTTTTTAAGTGTTTACTTATTTTTATTTCATTTGCATTGGTGTTTTTCCTGCATGTATGTCTGTATGAGGGCGTCAGATCCCCTGGAACTGGAGTTACAGACAGTTGTGAGCTGCCATATGGGTGTTAGGAATTGAAGTCAGGTCCTTTGGAAGAACAGTTAGTGTTCTTAACAACTGAACCATCTCTTCAGCCCATGACACTAGTTTTCATTTTTAGGTGGAAGCTCTGCCTCAGTTTTCCTCCTCCCTCTCCAAACCCCACCCCTCAGAAAGCCCGCCAAAGGGAGGCTCCTCTTCTTGAGATGGATGCTCAAGACCACGCTTACAGCATATTTAAGACCCTGATCCTAGCCCTGCCATTTAATTTTTCTCCTGCCTCCTCTGAGAGCTACCCAGGAGTTGCTTTGCTCTGTTATTTAACCTGATTTTATTAATTCGGTTGCATTCAGTTTATTGCATTGGTAGAGAAATCCACAAGCAGAGATTTTCAACAATACTTATCAAGTGTGTTTGCCAGTTTTTCATTGTTGTAATTAAGTATTGAGAGAACAGCTCTGGAGTGGAGACTTGAGTGCTTCATGGTTTCAAATGGTTCCATCTTTGGTTATTTGTCTCCTCTATTTCTGAATCTGAGACGAGGCTAAACAGCACGGGGGGGGGGGCAGTGTATAGAGGTGGAGGCTGACCACATGACAGGAACAGGAAGCCAATAGGAAGGGGGGACCAGAGACCATGGGCTATGCCTCTAGGGATGCACTTCCTCTAGTCTTACCCCAAGGGCTCGAGCTGGACCTGGTCTTTGGGATATGAACCAAGTGTCTGCCATGTAAGGATGCTCCCAGCAGTCCTGTGGAGAGGCTTCCCATCAACAGCTGGTGTCACCTGGGCAAGCCAGGAAGTGTGCTACCTTCAAAGTGAATCCTCCAGTCCTGGTCAAGGATTCAGAGACAGCATCCTGTGTGGCATCCAGCTCCATTGATGAGTGACCCCCCTTGCTAGAGCCTCCCACCCAAATTGGCCCTCAATTGTTTTAAAGATTTATTTTATTTTTGATTATGTATATTCGGACTGGGAATATAGCACAAGGGTGGGGTGTTTTCCTACCACAAGTAAGAGCTGGCATAAAAAACTTAAGTGTCTCTGTGTATGTTTATGTATGTGATTGTAGGTACTCATGGCACCTAGAGTTGGGAGATCCTTCCAGACTTGGAGTTGGAGATGTGTGAGCTGCCTGGTGTAGGTGCTGAGACAAGAGAAGGATGAACTCCTAACTTAGAGCGAGTGTATACAGGCCTAGGACAGAGGTCATCAGAAGAGCACTTGTTGAGTTTGACACTATTTTTCTAAACATAGAAATATATCATGAATCTTCCACAAAGGCTACAAAAATTAGTCATGTTATTAAAATGAGGCCTTTACTCAGGAGATAGAGGGAGAGCATAATGCCTGGTTATGGATTGCATTATGTTGTGGTCCTAACCCCTGGTATCTACGAATAGGTCCTCATGTGGAAATAGTCTTTGTTAATATGACAAAGTTGATGTTAAGGAAGGTCCTGATCAAATATGGCTAGTATCCTCATAAAAAGAAAATACAATATGAAGACAAATAAGGGGAATACTATGTGGTGACAGGGGCAGAGACAGAAATGATTGAACTGTAAACCAGGAATGCCAAAGATGGATGGCCATCATTAAATGCCAGGCAGATGTAAGAACAGATTCTACTGAGTGTCTCAGAAGAAGCATGGTTTTGTGGACAGAAGTTCAAGTCTCTAGACTCCACAATTGTCAGAGAATTAGTTTCTGTTGTATAAAGCAACCCATTTAAGGTACTATATTATAATAGTCCTAGGAAATAAATACATTTTGCTACTTTTAACCATACAGAGTACAGGCAAATGGGTTGTGTGATGTTAATACTATCCACCTGATCTCATCTAGAATCACCTAGGAGACCTTTGAACATGTCTGTGGATTTCTGTATTAGGCTAATGGGAATGGGCGGAACCACTCCAAATGTGGGTAGCACCATACCTCGGGCTGTGATTCTGAAATGAATAAAAGTGAGCCAAATCCTGCATTCATCTCTCTCTGCCTCCTGACTACAGATGCAAAGCTGCCTCCTATTTCTCCTGCCATGACTTCCCTGCCACGATAGACTGTCCAAACCTGTGAGTCAAAACAACCCTTCCTCCATGATCTTCTTCTGTCACTGTGTGAGGAAGTCAGAAATATAGATGCTTCTGAGGTACTAATATGTAATGGTTCGTTTTGTTAAAACCATGTCCTTGAAGAAATACCAAGGGCAAGAATCAATATACAAGGTGATTATAATTACATTCCATTTCTTACATATAGTACTTTGATCAAGAATACCTAGGAGTTTAAATAAACTACTACCTATGACATAAATATAGCAAACTGAAGGCTCTCCTTTCTCCACTAACAGCAGACAGCAGCATTTTTGTAGGGAAGAGAGCTGCATCAAACACAAAAATATACAGAGAGAATGTATGAGAGAGTGGGAGGTTCAGATAGGGAGGAAGAGGGGAGAAGGGAGGGGAAGAAGGATGACGTTCGGGGAGAAGTAGAGAATACATAGCTCTAGGGAGCACAGGTTTTTAAGACTTTACAGCTGGGATCTGGCTTGGCGCAGTGCTTGCCCAGCATGCACAAACCCTTGGCTTTGACCTTTATTAGCTAAATGACTAACTAAATTATCAGGAAGAAAAACTAAGGAGTAGACGGATTCACTGATGAATTCTATCAAATGCTTAGTATTAATTAAACCAAAGTATTACTACCAATCTTTTGCAAGCTCTTCCAAAAAATAGAAGGGAAGAGGGAACACTTTCTACCTTGAATTTTGTAGAAGCAATGTTATCTAGACAACCAAACCAAAGACTTCCAAGAAAACTAAAGATCAATATTACTTATGAATACAAGTGAAAAAAAAAAGACATTAGCAATAGAACCTAGAAACACTTTAAACATTATAAACCCATAACAAATTGGGTTCATCCAAAGAATGCAAGGTTGGTTTGACATCTGAAAATTAATCAGTATATTATGCTAACAAAATACAAAAGAAAAAACAATCTCACATGATCTTCCGAAATTTATGGAAAATGTATCTGATAAAATCTAATGCCTTTCCATGACAATACCTAACACATTTTCAACAGAAGGGAACATTTTCAGCCTGATAGCGTGTATATCAAACCAAGGGCTAACATCATACTTGATGACAAGAGTCTAGGTGCTTCCTTCCTAATGTCATTATTACGAGGACTTATATTATTCTCTCTTATACTTGAGCACTAGCCATGGAAATCTGGAAATAGTGACAACTACAACAACAACAAAAACATTCAGATTAGGAAGAAGTAAAACTATCCTATGTATAGATGATATGATCTTGTATTTTGAGAAGCCCAAGGAATCATATGAGTATTTATTAGAAGTGATATGCCAGGGCTCAGATGGTAGAGTGCTTGCATAGCATGCAAGGAGTCTTGGGTTCAATTCCTATAACATCACAGAACTGAATGTAGTGGAAAATACTTCTAATTTCAGCACTTGAGACATGAAGTCAGGAGGAACAAGGAGTCAAAGCTACTCTCAGTTACACAGTAAATTTGAGGCCAGTGTGAACTACATGAGAACTTGCTGTAAACAAAATGAAGAAAAGAGTATTATCAGTTTAGTGAGACTGCAAGATACAAGGTCACTATACAAAAATCAATTATAATGACTATTCTAAAACCGACATTAAGAAAATAACACTATTTGCAACAAAGAGACTAAAGTATTAAGGGATAAATTTAATTAAGCAAGAGTTGTATGCTGAAAACTATAAAACATCACTGAAAGAAATTAAAAAGTACCAGGATAAATGGAAATTAGTTATGTTATTAAAAATCAGTCACATTATTAAAATGACTAATTTTATGCAGTCCACTTAAGCTCATGGATCAGAGACTTTAATATTGTTAAGATGGAAATACTTCCCAAATTGACCTACAGATTTAATGTAATCCCTATGAAAATCTCAGTTGGATTTCTTGTGGAATTGATGTGGGGACCCTAAAATTCACATGGAAACATAATCGGCTTAGGGGTGGCCAAAAATAGACTTAGCTCATTATAAAATTATAGTAATCAAGACTCTTGATTACTAGTAGCTACTATAGTAGTACCTAGTATAAGAGAAAAGATATAGATGAGTAGAATTGGTTTGGAGAGGCCAGAAAGAAACCTTTATGTTAAGGGGTCAATTGATATTGACAAAGTTTGTCCAAACAATTCAATGGAGGACAGAACAAACAGGGTTGTGACAAGTGAATCCATAATGCAAAAAAACAAAAA